TGGTGCACATTATATCCCTTTTACCTGGTAGCCCAAGACAGGTTGTCAATGTGTACCCCCGGGGGTACTTGAGAAGGCCCTAGGGGGTACGCGGGCAGGTGGGGATGAACCACCGCCCACCTGGCCAGGGGGGGCAAAAGAAGCTCACATAGTTCTGCTGCTCCACATCTGGCTCCTGGGGGTACACTGATCCAAAAAGATTGAAAACCCTTAGTCTAGGATAACTGGAGAAGGCAAGATGCTGATCTTCACTCAAATCCTGGATGAATTGCCTAACTGGAGTATTGCACTTTGACCTTGTCATGTGACAAAGGAAATAGTTGCTGAAGGTTTATTCTGCAGCTCACCAGTTTTTGCTGCAAATAGTACAGTAGGACCAGTCAATGTAGTTAATTTTTCTACAGAATGGGAAAAGCAGCTTTGAAGCAGTAACACACTTTCATTTTTGGAAAAACAATTTGAGATCCAGTTTAAGAGATTAAACTCGTTTTAAAATTCTTAACCTGACTTTTACTCTTTACACTTATGAATACAGTGTCTTGGGGGTAGGGGGGAAAATCTCTTAATCTGTTGGAGAAGGGAGGAGGAACTACAGCTGTTGCCCATGGAAAGCAAATGGGCTATCGATAGGACCTTAAGACAATTTTTTAAAGGTACAATATGCTACAAAAGTCCAGGTCATCCCACTTAAATTTATTTTATTAGATTTTGCTAAGAAATATGAAAATGATTAGATTCTTTTTACTACTAGAGCCATAACAAAACCAACTGCTTTTATAATCCTAGAAAGTTGTGGTTTATAGAAGATAGATGCAAAAATTCCAGGATGTTGCCTAGCACTATCAGAGCTAATCAATACTGCATTACTTTTAATGAAGCTTAAACAAAATACTGGTTAAAATACATAACTTTTCTAATTGCTAGGTAATAAGGTTGCTCTTCATAGTTTTGACACCTAGCCAGTCATCTGTCATGGAAAGCAGAATGAGTCTTATTTGGCTGAGCTAAGGAAGAACATGAAGTAATAAATAAAAATGTTTTACTGTGAACTTTCTGTTTTAGAATTGACAGTTTTGCTGTCTTACGTTACCTGAACCTCTTATCTCTTATTCTTTCATTATTTCCATTTTTAGTATTGGGCTTCCAGTGTGTGTTGGGAATATGAGTTTTATGCAGCACAACTTCTGATAAATCAAAAACATAATCGGAGAATTAATTCTTCTTGGAAGGGTTGGTTAGGCCTGATGTTGTTTAGGCATGCCAGGGAAAACAGACAGTGTGATATGAGAATTTTAAAAGTCCATTTATGGCCATGGTATTTATTTCCTTGCTCCTTGGATGGAAACTTGATGCCAACTAGCTTCAATGAACATGTATAAGTGAAAGATTAGGGTTCTTGTTTGTCAGATTCTGCCACATGAAAATATGGAAAACTATCAGCCATGGTTCAGTAAGCATTAATGCTAACTGTCACATTTAACAATTTTAGTCCTAAAAACAATGGTAGGAGTAGAGCTACAGGTAATAAGCTTGAGGTTATTGCACATAATTGCCTATTTGTCAAGTCTTCAAGCATGTCAGTCAGTTTTTATTTATGGAATAAGAGCTGAGAAGACACAGTTAAGTTCCAGAAGTCTACAGACCAATAGACTCTTCTGCAGATAAAAGTGACATTTTAAGAACTTATTTTTCTTTAAATTGGAATTATGGAGTTTGTCAGTGCTGCTTCATGTACTTACGGGCTCGCAAGAGATTTGTGATCTCTACACTAGTTTGGAAAGTCGGGAATTAGATCAGGAGATCTGTCAGGGACCTTAATGGGCAGAATTTGCTATTTTTTCTTTTCAGTAATATTGATCAGGCAGATCCCTTAAAAGAAAGCACAGCTTTATTGTTAGATTTGGACAAAGCATCTTGTTGGTAGCAACAAGATTGGCAACATAGACCAAAGCAAGTTAACTTGCTCATATATGAGGCTTTTGCCATGTAAAACTCACATTTTACTCATGCTGTGGGAATGAAAAATAATGTGTTTTTTGTATTCCTTTTGCAAGATTTGACTCCCAGCCATGCCCCTGTGAGAGTTTTCCTCTTATCTCTAAATTGGATGCAACAGTTGTAACACAGATGTAATGAGTCAAAAATTTTACAGCAAATCTTTGGCAGACCTGGGAAAAAACGCTTCAAGTCATGAACTGTTGGCTGCATTCGCTAAGTAGAAAAAAGAACTTTCAGTAGCACCCTGTTGTAGAGAAGGGGTAGTCAGAATGCACTGAAGCTGTAAGAAAAAGTGACAGAGTTCATCCTACTTAAACTAAGATTTTCGGGTACATCTATGGGTGTTGAACAGCCCACATCTATTGAAATTTGCAGTTCCCTTAAATCTTCCATGAAAATTGGAGCCAAAATAATCTGAAAGCTTTGCATGACAATCAGTTTTCTCTTCTCCTGCCTTTTTTAATGATGATGCAACTGTTTTGGTCCAAACTAGTATTAATGACCAGCAAGTAGATTAAATCTGATAAAGTTACAGTCAAAACGGTTGTAAAACTTCCTTCTGCCCTCAGTTTCTTATCTTGACAGTGCTTATTTATGTTGTTTTATATTCTTTCAAAATTGTATATTCAAAATGATTGGGAAATCTTTTAACTATTTAGTGTGGCACTTTGCTTCCTTAAGAAGTAGTGTCAGTAGTTAAAGGACTCTTTAGTTGAGTGTGATATTAACATACAATTTTCTGAAGGGAAATGCTGAATTCAGGGTTTGGAAGATAGAGACCCTGGCATTTTAGATGGTTTTGTTTAATATGTGTATGCAACTTAAGCTTCCTTAAAATTACTGTAAATTACTTTCAGTAATGTAAATGTTAGTTTTCAAACTTTAAGGTAAAGTTGTTGGTTTTTTCTCTCTTTTTTTCTTTTTTTTTTTTTTTTTTTCATTAGACACTATCAACACTTACAGACCATTACTTAGAACTCAGGAGGAGCCTTTTTTTTTCTTTTAACCAAATGTTTTAAGAATGAACAGGGGAAAAAAGCCTCAATCCTAGATTTCAAGAAACTCTAACTTTCTTAGCCCTTATTTGAATGACTTGTATAAATACTTAGTTTTTAAACCACTGCTATATGACAACTGATTCATGCTAATCAGAATATATAAATTAAATGCTTACAGATACAAAAATTGTTTGCAGTTTTGCAGTCTGCGCTGCTGCACACTAATATACTTGCCTTCACATAAATATATATTTGGGAATAGTGCACTAAGAGAAATGGTTCCCCTGCTGCAATATCTGTGCCTAATAATACCGACGTAGGAGGTTGTGCACATTGTATAAGTTCAGAGCTAAAAACGAGTTTCAAATAGATATCTTTGGGGTTGCTGGGACCACAGATTAATTATATTGGGTTGTTGCATCATTATTTGCTAACCTTCAAAGCAAATGTTATTTCAGCTTAGTGTATTTTAAAAGAAAATGTTGGAGGTTGATGAAACGTGGCTACATTGACCAAAAGAACTACGTTTAAAAGAGCTTTTCACATTAGAAATGTTTGTTTGACATGTTTAGTTACTACTTACAAATGTCCAAATGCTACAGTAATGGGCAGCAGTATAAAACCCTAAGATATTATGGTAATTGGGTGCTTTTTCAATACATGGTGGATCTGGAAAATCTCTAGCATGTTCAAATTCCTAATATGTTGCTGTAAATAATATTCCAGGGTGTAGGCTGGAAAAGTGAGATGTCTAGAAACCTCATTTGAATTAACATCTCTTGTGAGTCACTTTGGTTAGCTCTTTCAGTTTGTCTACGGTTCTTAAGTGTTTATTATAGCGATCTGACTTTTTTTGGAAACATTGAATATTTGTAGTCTGATAAGAGTACTAATTAAAGGAGCAAAACATTTTATGAACTCTCATTAAATCTAAGTAACAGTGACTAATTCCAGAAAGTTGGATGTTCTATTTAGTAACATACATGCCTTAGAAAGCAGTGGAGGTTTTTGCAGTAGAGAGTTACCAGTATTTATTTTGTGAGCATTCACAGAAACCTGGAGGCAGGAGGCATCGCTAAGGGGGAAATTCCCTCAGTGTGGTCTGAGCTGAAATTGAGTGGTTTCTAGCCTTTAAACTGGTAATTTGACAGTTACCAATATAGTGTGACAATTCACTATATAGATCATTTTGGGAGTACAAAATGAATCTGGGTTTCTTAAAACAATGCTCTCATAAATCGTTCAATAAAATAGTGTCATTGCTCAGACATCCCTTTATAAATCAAGAAAAACAACTTCATTCTTCCTTGCTGGTTTTTTCAAGGTTGTTTGGGGAAAATTGAGGTTTAACATCTCCTCTTGGCAAATGGATTCCTTCTTAAGAGTTTTTTAGGGGGTAAAATCCTTTCCATCAAAAACTCCATTGATGGAGTTTACTGTGCGTGGACACAATCCCCGTGAACTTCAGGGGAAGTTAAAGTGCCCACCACCTCAAAGGTGAATGCCCATGATCACATTTAACTGAAAATATGTAAAGATGAGTTTATTAAAACTGAGTCTACTACCAAATGCTAATTTCAACACAACTGAAAAAAAGTGAGGGCTCATCATTTTACAGGATAGTGTCACTTATCTGTACACAGGCCTTTTGATCTTAACTTACTATGGTAATTGCACAGTCCCTGTAGCTATATAAATCAGTCTCATGTGGTGTACCTAGATGGATTTATCCTTTAAAGTCAATTAAACTTGATTTCTTCATTTGAATATCTTGTACTAATTGCAATAAGTGTTAAATCCTCCACCACCTATAATATTACGAGGGGAAAATTTAGTTTGGACAAAACCTCTGGAGCATCATAGCCTGTTGCCATAAAGATGCATCAGGGCTCTAAAGAATTTGTGTTTATATTGAACATTTTTGTTTTGGGATTATAAGATAGATGCGTATATACACATCTACGTATTTTGATACAGTATTTTCTCATTTTATATTTTGTTCAGCATTTACAGCCGAACAATACCAGCAACATCAACAGCAACTGGCACTAATGCAGAAACAGCAGCTTGCACAAATTCATCAACAGCAAGCAAATAGTAATTCCTCTGCCAACACTTCACAGGTGAGGGATTTGTCTGTGCTATGATTTATCCCTCATTGTTTCCCACCAGGGTTCATCTCTAATTGTCAACTGTTGCCATAGAACCTTGAAACTAACCAACAGGAAAGTGGCTTTCGCCTGAATCTACATCATAGCCATTCTGTAAAGTGTTTAGAAGGGACACTGCAGGTGAGTGTGGCAGGCATTGCCTCTGCTCCCTCTTAACAAAAACAAAAAAGATGGGTGAATCAATTAAATAAAATATTCAGAGACTTGGGAATACACGTTACAAAAACCTTCACCATGTCATCCTGTTGCTGTGTGTACTTACTGTGCCTTCCCCCTTCCTTCTCCTCCCTCCCCCCCCCCCCCCCCCCCCCCCCCCCGGCCTTTCCCTATTCCTGACCCTTTTGCCATTTACCTTTCAGTAAAATTCATTAAGTTAAATCAAGTCCCCTTTATAGCTACAGAAGTAGCTTAACGTTTTTAAATATGTAATGCCTATGGTATTGATTCCCAGACCTGCAAAGGTTCAGAAGCTGCTGTTAGCCATCTGAACCTGTTTGAGCCTTCCAAAGTAATGGTTGGAAATCTTGTGAAACTGTTTCCACAAATATTCTGGAAGAATGAGCTTTTGTGTAAATACTTATTGCATTTTTGGCTCTGAACTAAAATCGCATGGTAAAACCACATGTAAGAATGTATCTAACTGTACTAAATGCTAGAAGTTCAATTTGAAAGAACAATGAGGAGTAGGTCAGTTCTTATTTTATCTGGACTGGTTTATGCATTCTTAGTTTTTGTGTCTCAGTGCACTGTGGGAACTCAGTACCCCAATGCATTGTTATGCATTATAGTTATATAGGGAAAGGACTGACCCTTTGCAGCCTCAATCACATTTTGTTTTGCCATTTTTCCCCCCTAGGGTTTTGTTTCCAAGACATTGGATTCTGTTAGTGCCCAATTTGCTGCTTCAGCTTTGGTTACATCAGAACAATTGATGGGATTCAAAATGAAGGATGATGTGGTGCTTGGCATTGGGGTGAATGGCATTCTTCAAGCCTCAGGTATGGAGCTGTGTAAATCTGCAGTCATAATGTACTTACCTTGCTTTCTTTAAATGGGTATGTGAAACTCAAGACTTGAACCTCTTCTTAATGTTCTTTTTCTGCAGGAGTATACAAGGGCTTACACCTCAGTAGTACTACACCTACAGCACTTGTACATACAAGTTCATCAACAGCAGGTTCAGCCTTGTTACAGCCTTCAAGTATAACACAGACTTCAAGTTCCCACAGTGCACTGAGTCACCAAGTAACTGCTGCCAATTCTGCAACAACTCAGGTCCTGATTGGGAACAACATTCGATTAACTGTACCCTCATCAGTTGCCACTGTAAACTCTATTACCACACTCAATGCACGACATATACCTAGGACTTTAAGTGCTGTTCCATCATCTGCCTTAAAGCTGGCTGCAACAGCGAATTGTCAGGTGCCCAAGGTTCCAGCTTCATCCTCTGTGGATGCAGTACCAAGGTAAGTTCTGGGTATGTCTAAGCTTCCTTAACATTTTGCTGTTTCTTGTAATATTTGTTTCAACTCTGAAACCTACTCTTAACCCAAAAATGATCTTTGTGCTCTGTAGGATGCTAACAAACTATGTAAAATTTGTGGGGAAAACAATGTTTCCAATTTCCTTTAAATGAGTATATCATATTCCTTATAGTAGGGGTCAGTAATCTGTGGTCCACAGGCCTGATGTGGCCTATAAAGTCATTGGATCTAGCACACAGACATGAGTCTGTAGTGGCAGGGTG